CAACATTTAAATGCCACAGCCCACCTGAGTACTAATACTGGACATGTTCATCCCTTTATGGAGAAAGTGCCTTCTGACAGCTGTGTCCAGTAGGATAACAAGTCACGTGTCACAAATCTCAGATGATCTAAAACTGATTTCTTGAACATGACAATGAGTCCCCTTTACTCAAATGGCATCCACAGTCACCAGATCTCAATCCAATAGACCACCTTTGGGATGTGGTGAAACGGGAGATTACAGTACAATCATGGATGTGCAGCTGGCAACTGTGTGATGCTATCATGTCAATAAGAGCCAAAATCTCTGAGGAACGTTGCCAGCATTCCTCATCCTGGAGACTACAGGTTAGAGAGTTAATTAGCAGGTTAAAAGGAAACGGTTATCAGAATGCAAAGAACACAGCCATGATTGTCCATGTGTTTTAGATTTATTTTACTTTATATCTAAAGTATTTTAACTAAACGAGTGATTGAGACACATTGACTGATTCGTTCTGACGAGATAAAATAAGGTTACACTAAATGACAGACTTAAAAATATACACATTCTACTCAGAAGAAGAACAAAATTAACTCACCTAAGCTGCCGTCACATATGGGAGTGAAAAGAGTGAGTAAAGACCTTATATAATGTGAGCAGGTGAATTCAGTTGAGCAACAAAGGAACACGGGAGCCAATCAGTAGTGAGGAAACCAGGACAGGAAGTGAGGTAAGGGAGGTGAGGAGTGGATGAGTGAGGAAAAGAACAAATGAAGTAAGACTCTTTGCTACAGGTGGATTCTGGAGTCAAAACAGTAGCACTGACATGTTAAAGGAGGACGTGTAACATTTGTAGCTATGCATTACTACTCTATACAAAAGGGTGACAAATAAAACCCAATATAATGTGTGAGGTATGAGGTATTTGGCCTCCAAGCAGCACCAGAACAGCTTCAGAACTCCCTCGACTGATTCTTCAGGAGATGTAAATGAAAGTATTTGTGAATCATTCTTCCAAAAAATATTTCCTCATTGGTGTTTTGATGGTGGTGACGGAGGGACACATCAGTTCAAAATTTTCCACAGGTGTTCACTCGGATTAAGATCTGGTGACAGCGAAGGCCATAGCATTGATTGATCCACATCATTTGCATAATCATTATGTCCCTCAGTGACCCCTTGTGCCTTTTTATGGATATATATTGATTTGTACTGGCCCTCCCACTAGAGGTACGTGTGAACCCAAACCATCCAAGTATTATTATACATCCCATTGCATAACAGAGCCAGATCCTCTCACTGTGGGTCAGGAGTTCAAGGTTTTCCTTGACTGAGTGACCCTACTCTGCATAGTTTCTGATTACCTTTCTCCTGATTGACTTATTGATTACTCACCTAATCATTTATGTTCTAAATGAAAAGAGTTTGGTCTGTTGAGCCCACCAAAAAAGCTATTTGTTGTTTAATTGACATTTTGATTGGAGTTTAATTTTTGTTGTAAAATAATTCATTCATTCCATCCATAGGGGCAGCAGTTTTAGCAGAGATCCCTAGATCTCCCTCTCCCTGGCCATCTCCTTTAGCTCTTGTAGGGGGACGCAAGGCATTCCCAAACCAACCAGGAGGTGTAATCTGTCCAGCACGTCCTGAGTCTGCCCTGTCACCTTGTTCCTTTAATGCCTTACCTAGGGAAGTCAAGGAGGCATCTTAGCCAGATGGCTGGACCACCTCAACTAGCTCCTTTTGATGTGGTAGAAGTGCAGCTCATAATCAATAAATTGATTATCATTATTAATTTTTTAGCTCAGTCTTTATGAACTAACTCACATTGTTTAAAGCATCATTCCAGGGTTACACCTAACTATTAATGATTGGTTTGTTTGGACTTATCAATAAGTCTTTTTGTCCTAAACTAGCCTCATTGTGACAAAGTCCATAATGGCTTCCTAAATCACACAAGGTAAAGAAATTGAACAAAACCAGAGAATATTTTAGTCTTTAAAATAACTGCTGATAAATTAAATCCATTTATTTCTAACATTTCTGGCATTAATTCTGAAAAGAGCCCAGAATGCATCTTGAAACATTTATCTTGGAAGTTCAGAGAGAAAAGGGTATTTAGTGAAAAATTAGGTACCAGTGAAGAAAACAAAACCTTCAGCTGAACCCATCCCACACACTGAGCACTATAAGCTCATCTGTTCCCTCTAACCTGTGGTGAGGCACACTGCTCTTAATCTTGCAGCATCCTCCCAGGAGGTGTTGGAGGTCAGCCAAGTAAAGCATCTTAAATAACCAGTGACCTTAAATTCATGCGACTGGTGGAGTGGCAGACAGATGGAAAATGCACAGGAAAATTCTCCCAGCTCCGACTTTGTCGCCTTATCGCTTACCCATGCCCTGACCTCTCGCTCCGAACATTTACACCAAACTGCACAAGCAACACCGGGTGTACTAAACCTCCCTGATGCTCACTCTCTCTCAAATCTAGGGCATGGGAGTGCTCAACATAAAACAAACGGCAGTGGCAGATTTATAAATATAAGATTAAATGCTTGTGGGTTCAAAATGCCATGCACAGTGGCATACACATGCACTAAAGCATTTTCCACTCTTACACAATCAATATAAACTTAACACAATGAATAGCTGATAAGAATAGAAGGAATGAAAAAAAAAATTCTCTGCACGGCATCAACAAATCCAAAAATGAGTTCATGTTTTTATTGAACTATTACTAAGCTGCTTGGGTGTTGACGACAAAAGGGGATTTAGTGCGAGATTCAAAAATTGTTGAGCTTTGGAGCAACACCCAGATAAACACACAAACACAAACACACACACCTGAAAGGATAACACCAGCTCAGTGATGCTCGCCTTGGGCAAACTGTATATTTAGAGTCACGGGATCAAGGTCAAGGCAGGAGGCACGTTAGTGGGTTACTTTATGTTGTGCTCTCGGCTCTCGACTCTCGGCTCCTCTGAGGACCAGCGCTGTGACAACAGGTCCCCTTTTACGCAAAAGTGGTGCACCCCTCGCTGCGATCCCAGATTAGCTCTCATCAGGAAGACAGAGCAGTTTAATTAAACACAGCAGATCAGCTCCTCAACAGTGATGATGGATAAGAGAGACCAAAAGGGAAAAGCAGAAAGAAATTAGGAAAATTCAAAGCGGATGGAAAAAATAAAAAAGGGGGAATCAGTGGAAGCCTGGAAGGAAACAGAATCCAAACAGAGAAGGGTGTGGTAACCTTATGAAAGAATGGCTGAAATCATAATAACAAAATGAATAATTCAAAAGGAAATGGGAGGGAAGGTTCAGTTCACTATAATGAGCATTTTTGTGAGGTCGCAGTTTGGTAACCTAAGCAGGCCCTCAAGTATATGTGTCTGTGTGTGCCTTCAGTTGTGTGTGTGGAAGAGAGATACTGCTGATTCAGTAGGGATGGGTGAAGGTGACCCTCGCTTGCTCCTGCTGCCAGTCTCACCACCTGATATTGATCCCAGTTGTCCAACTCAGATCTGACTCAAGGATACAAGGATTCATTGCCTTCTTGACATTTCAAATATGGAACTGTGTCAATTGTAACTCCACACACTAGCATTGATTAGTTATTGATTTTCTACCTAAGTCAGAGTAAACCACTTAAAGGCAGCTTCGCCGATCCAAACTGAATTTCAGTGTGTGTGCAGGTATGGCCACGAGAGGTAGTTCCAGCATGGGCATGCTTTTGTTGTTGTTGAAATTTCATATCAGACTGCACACAAACTGCCGAGAACTAAGAATAGAGCAAGCTACAACTGTAGAATTCAAAAGCAGTGGCTGGGAGCAAAGGTTTGGACCACAGATGGGAGAATGTGCCTGCGTAGCACTGCCCTGTCAAGGGTAAACTGCCTTGAAACACACACACACACACACACACATACTTTGTTTTCACCACACCTTAAAACAGATGCATGAATATTCATGATGCCGAAGGACACAGGAGGTACATAATTAGACAATCACCAACTCCCAGATGACATGCATTACTACGACAGAGGAGAAATGCACCTCACTTCATCCTCCCCTCTTGTTAGCGGTGAAAGGGGAGTTGACATGCATTTCCACTTACTGGTGGTTAAAACTTGAGCTGGATAACTGGAAACAAAAGGGGGACAAATGCAGAATAAAAGGCTCTCCTTATTTATGTGCAAAACAGGTGCTGGATGCATAGGTGAAGCTAAGGCAAAACAAATAGTGTGAGTACCAGAGCAGAAGGAGCTCTCAGTGTGTGGACTACCTAACACACCATGTATGTTGCTCTACTAACAAATTAAAGATTTATATTAACAGCATAACCTTGACTGCTTTCTAAACCCAGGGCAATGCACGCTATTAACTCAGGGTTACACATCCATCAATTTAATACAAGATGCCTTTATCGAACCAGGACACACCCTAAACGAACTGCAACAGACACTCACACACGCAAGCATGTACAGAGAGCTGCCAGGCACTTGTTCACATGCATGCACACACCTGGCTGTGAACTATAGAGTGCATTTTGCAAGTCAGTCTATTTCTGAGGGCAAAATGGGTGCAGGTGCATCGAGCATTTCATTAAGACCATTTCTGGAGCAGGGGATTGAAAAGTGGAGAGAAAAAACACACACGGGCGAATGGATTTATGAAACGGGGCTCAACAAACTTTCGAAAGCCATTCAAGGGTTCATGTGCACACATATACACACAGATACACACACAACCAAGCATGCGCATGTGATTAACAGCTGCTACATCTGTTAAAACTGACATTGTTATCCAAAAGATCTGCCACCCTAATCACAAACCCACATTCTTCACACTCTCTCTCACACACACGCAGGCTGACTAGTTTACATGCATACACACACACACTCTCTCTCTCTCTCTCTCCTCTCAGTCCACCCTCTACCTCCCCCCTCATCTCACCTCACACACACTTGGCTTACACACAACAAATTCTCAGATTTCCCATATTTAGGGAAATACTAACCTGCCTTGCCGCTGACACACACACATCCTCTTCAAGCAGTTCAGCCTTTCAAAGAGGATCCGTTTGAACGCGTCTATATACATTGACCCAACTGAGGTTAAATGACAAGCCAGTATACTTAATTCAAATGAGTTGCTTTGTTAAAAAGCAACGGCAGTAACAGTAGCAGCAGCAGTCCGGTGTATAATATATTTTTTTAAAAAGGTGTGGGAATGCAGTGATGTGTAGATGCTGCCACTGTATCCCAGACAAAGTCAGATACGATGTGCGCGGCTGACGGGATATATTTGGACACTAGTGATGCTCTGAGAGCTGTGCTGATCTTAGAGAGAGAGAGAGAGAGAGGGAGAGAGGGGAGAGGAGAGAGAGGGAAAATAACACACACACACACACACACACACTGTCGGCCAAATGTGACAGCGGCCGCTCATAATTTGTAACAGCTGCTGCACTGCTGTGGGCAAACCAGCGTGGAGGATGGATGAAAGACGTGGTTACAAATGTTTAACTTGTGCAATAAGTGTCAATAATAATGGCTGGACTTACCTCCATGTCCGCCTTACTCGCTTCAAATCCTCCCTTCCTTGTTTGCGAGATGGTCCAGGTTAATTGTTTACGGATGCATAGTTATTTGATCGATGCAACTGCAGCAGCAAACAAAAAGACCAACATCGGTACTATCGATTTGACCGGGTAGAGGTGTCATTGAACTGCAGGCGCGGTGCTCCCGGGGCGTAAGTGAGAAAGACAAAATTAGATTAGGCTTTACTGTCCGGTTGAAAGTGCGGGTATAGGCTGCAGCTGGTGCAACTAAAATGGACTTTTGCAGCGATAGAAACAGTGAAAGCATAAATGGCAAGTGAGAAGGTTATCTTGAGAAGTTAAGGAGCACGGAGGGGAGGGAATAAAAGAGTTAAAAGTACCGCCCCTGTTAGGTCTCTTTGTACCTGCAGCAGCAGCAGCAGCAGTAGCAGCATCACTTTTCGCTTACGAGTTAAAGGCGTGAAAGCAAGATTTATACAGGAGACTTTCTAAGCCACAATTGCGCTGCAGGTTATTTAATCCAGCGCTGGCAAGCGTGGTTTCGTAATAAAACCATAAATGTGAGGTTAGTGAAGGTGAGAATCTAGGTTGTCCTTCAGGGATGTTGCAAGTATGTTTTGGGACGTATGGGAGCCCGGATACACCGCTGGCTACTGCTTTTCGAAACACGAATGAAAACTGATTTCAAATGCTTGTAAAATTATGAAAATAATGCAGAAATAGTCTTATAAACTTTACAGTTTCAAGAATACCGACTGGAAATATTATATGTTCTTAAAATTTACCTAAATATTCCCCCAATATTTCAAATTAGAATGACTACTCGGTCCTTATTGTTTTTTAATTAAACGCAAACAATTTCACGGCACTGAGCATTATCAGGGACACGTATTATAATATATTTTTCATCTGTAAATATGAGAACTCTATTCGTGAACTGTGAACATTTGCTTCCTGTCTAATTTGTTCCCTCTTCCCTGTGGATTTTGAAAATCACAAAACAGGGACAGCATCGCCGTCAAAACTACTCTGTACCTTTAATTATGTCGCATGACGGAAGATGTAGTAATCTTCAACTGGCTAGAAAACGTTCTTGTGCCGGAAATAAACTACAACTACCACAAGTCTTTCCGCGTACGTCATTTTTTTCTTTTTCACAAACAACAATGGCGTCGCACGGAGCAGATGCGGGTTCCTCCAAGCCCATAGCGTCTTCGGAGGAGCAGCAGAGAGAGAGAAAACCAGCGGCCGTGTCGTTTGGTTTCACCAAAACAGCCAGTAAATTTAAACCGTTGACGAGCGACGCTCAGGCCAAGAAAGATGACAGAGATTACCTGACAGGAATTCATGGAAATGAGCTGCAAAGGTCGGCTTTTCGGCTAATGCTAACATAACGTTTCGGTGTCATTTACCGGTTACGTTTCTCATCTTAGCTAGTCATTGTAATTACTGTGCTTTTTGACAATGAATAACTATGTATAATTGTTATATGGACATAGTTAGCAACGCAAAGTGTTATTTTGAAACGGCCCCGCCTGACAGCGCTCTAATTTTGTATTTTGGTGCAGTTCAAAGCCAAGTGAGAAACCCAAGGAGCTCATCATCCCTCTGATCCAGAAGAACCGCTGGCACAAGCCGGACCAAGTGGGCCAGAACTCAGAAAATGGAGGCAAAACAGAAAACACAACCCAAGACAATGACTCTGTGGAGTCTCAAGCTGTTAAGGAGCTCATTGAAGGTTTGTGTATGTGTATGTAAGCAGGGCTGTGAGTACCATTAGATAACACAAATCGCCTAAAACTTCTCTTTACGTTCATAGATTCGCGGAGGCAGCTTGATCTGTGGCAAAATGGCCCTAAGTCAGAAAACATAAACCTCTCCATCCCCCTGTTAATGCAAAACAAAGTGCCAGAAGGCTTTGAGGATGGAGACCAAGTAAAGGTGGACCTGAGGCCTGAATCTGTAAGTATGGAGAGCAACATAAGGACATAAATTCTATTCTATTTGCTGTGCAGTTCAGTCTTATCTTGTCCATATACACTGCTGAAGGGTATAATATTAATTTTATTTTAGTACAAAGTTTAGAAGTATAGTCAAGAAGCTGCACTATGTCTTGTCTATGTGAGGGTGGTGCAGGACATGGATGAGAACTGTGAGATAGTGGTGAGGTGTGTTTGTGATAGTGATGGGCAGGATGACAGGTAACGTCAGGCAGGAATGAAAGTCAGTACAACATACAATACAACTTTATTTATAGAGCACATTTAAAACCCAACGGTATACCAAAGTGCTTCACATAAAAGACAGAAAATAAGACATAAATATTATAAATATTAAATATTAGTAAATATTATAGGAACTTAACAAAGTTCCAAGTACTCTAACAGGTCAGTGTCACTAATACACAGGAATAGCATAAAATGTATATCAAGTAAAACATGTTAAAAGCACACGTATAAAAGGTAAAATAGAGTAAGCCTAGGGATCAGATACAGGCATTAACGAGCAGGAAAGGCAAGGTTCGACGAGATCTTGGCTGCACGAGGAGTAACTGAGTAGATGATCTTAGTGCTCGAGCAGGAATTTACGATCTAAGGAGTTCAATAAGGTAGCTCGGGGCTGTGCTGTTGATAATTTTAAAGGTAAGCAGCAGTATTTCAAATTGGATGTGGTATTTAATGGGTAGCCAGTGCAGGTCAACTACAACAGGGGGTAATAGAGGCAAACCTCCCAGTTCCGGTCAGAGGGCGTGCCGCCACATTTTGGACAGTTTGCAGTCAACGAAGAAGGTCAGAATGAAGACTGAAATAAAGGGAGTTGCAGTAATCCAGCCTAGAGGTCACAAAGGTGTGAACAAGACAGAATACAAGTGTGTCAATGAGAGGGGACAAGTGTAACAGTGATGCTGTAAGAAGTAGAGGTAGTAAAGGTAAAGGAGTTAACTACCTGGGGTCACCATCTAAAGCAAGGGACAGTGCACAAGAGAGGTGAGGGAGAAAGTATAGACATGGTGGAGATGGGTGTCAGGGGTCATTTCTGACAGAAGCATTGCAGCAAGAGTAGAAGTTTACAAGATGGTAGTGCGACCTGCTATCAGGTATGGTTTGGAGATGTTAGTACTGACAAAAAGACAGGAAGCAGAGCTGGAGATGTTAAGAGTTTCATTGTAAGGGGCCAGAATGAAGAAGATTAGAAATTAGTATATCAGAGGGAGAGCTCAGGTTGACCGCTTTGGAGACAAAGTTAAAAATAGGTTGGGATGGCTGAATTTTAATTAAGGAGCTGCCATACAGGAGGTGAAGAGGAAGACCACGTTCATGGATGTACTGAAGGAGGAGATGTAAAGAATAGAATAGAATAGCCCTTTATTGTCATTGTATATGTACAAAGAAATTGTGGGCACGCCACTCCAACTGTGCTGGAATAAAATGTAAATACAAGACAGCAGGAATAATGGCAAACAAGAGAAATGTATACAATCAAGAGGAATATATACAAAAACAATAGAAAGGCACACACTAGAGAACAAGAATAAGGGTTTGTGTGACGGAAGAGGATGCCAGAGAAAAGGGTGAATGAAGTCCGATGAACTACTTTTTTAGACATGCCTGTTTTTATTCATATCCAGCTGTTTCTACTACAGCTGAACTGTACTGACTAAGAAACGTGAAAATTCCCGAGTGATTTGGGCAGCACAATGGTTTCCTCACACCAAGGGTCCTGGGTCTGAACCTGACAATTAACTGGGATTGTATGGACTTTGCATGTTCTCTGTGTTCTTGGTTATTTTAGCTACTTTTCAAAGATGTGTGTAAGCTTAGTTGAGGTTATGTTCAAGATGTTTCCCACCTCTCAGCCTATGACAGTTAAGAAAATAAATGATGAAATAAATAAATGTGTAGAAATATGGAATAGAATTATTTGTTTTGATGATAATTTTCTAGAAATCACTTTTTTGCAATATATTTAAACAAATTTTTATATTTAGAAAAAATGGTGAAAATGGAATTAATGCATAAAAATGCAAATAAAAAAAAAACATAAATAAATAACATGCAGTATAGAATTAAAAAAAAAAACCCATCAAAATGAACATTCAGGTCTGTAGCCACACAATATATTTGGAACTACAAAGAACTAATACCTGATTGTGACAGCATTAAAGGGCTTGAACATGAAAAACCTGATGATATATCCTAAAAGACAGCTTCTTATTAGATGTTGAATTTCAGTCTTTGCTCAGGGAAAAGTCTGAAATGAAAGGATACCATAGAAATGACAATTTAAGGAACTGATACATAACTCTTGTATTAAATTTAAAGTAGGTGTAAAAAAACAAACAACTTTAGTTGTCTCAAAAGTTAAAAATTTGACTCTAATATGACAATTAACTGGAACAATATTGCACTTACAAAATGAATTCTGTTTTTTGTTTTGGGATATAGCCCATGCATGTTGAAAATTATATACATAAATTGTCTTAAATTAGTCAAATTAGTCCTGATAACATACCTGTGGAAATTTTGGTCCCCACTTAGATTTCTGTATGGACATGAGTCCATATCCTATTCTATCCACATCCTATTATATCTCAACAGTGTTGAGATATAATAGGCATATTCAAATACCTGTTATATTGCCCTTACAGTTAACCCTGCATTGTTTTAAAACAACAAAAACAAAACAAAGTAAAGCAAAACTAACACTGAAACCAATAAAAACATAAAGATTTTTAAACATTTTAAAAATAAACTGAATTTAAAACAAAAAATGTTGAATGAAATGCTAAAAAAAAAAGGAAACTATTATGACTGTATCAAATGTGTATAATCTACAATAGAATCTATTAGAAAGCAGTGAGCAAATAAAAAAGCCCGACAGTGCAAACTGTCTGGTAGACTGGCTGCTTTGACTCAGACTGAAATTTGAGTGTGGGAAAGTGCTGACTCTGGACTGGGAGACACCCCTGCATACATACACAGCGACACACACTTTGTCATTACAGTAAGACTTTGATAGCAGGCGAGCATCAGTCTCCCAGAGACATAAAGGCAACCAATTGGGTCTCTCTCTGTTTCTTTTCATGTAAAGGCCTCACATGTCTTCTCACTGTCATCCCATATCTGCTCTGTCACTGTGGATGTGACTAGCAAAACACGAGAGTCAGGGAAAATTTGCTCACGGTGCCCCTGAGCTCATTTTCATGCAGCATCCTCTGCGAGGGCTCCCAGCCCCCTTTAGAGGAAGACCTTCAGTGGAGAGAGATGAGCAGGGCTACTGCTGCTGTAGCTGCGGCCTGTTGACTCTGAGTCAGCCGGGACCGAGTCTGACAGCCTGTGGCCAAAAGGCTGAGTAAGACCGGCATGACAAGCTGTTTCTCTCTGTCAGCTGCAACAAACTTTTTTTTTGTGTGTGCTTTATACGTCAAAGATTACATAAGCACCTTGTTTAGCCTGTTGGGAATTTTTAATGCAGACTGTGATGTCTGAATTTTTGAATGTAATATGCTTTAATTTCCAAAATAATTTTGCAGTATTTATTTGTCAGTCAACAGAGGCAGATTATGAGCGTGTTCCTGTTGAGGCTTATGGACTTGCAATGCTTAAAGGGATGGGTTGGAAGAAGGAGGAAGGCATTGGACGTACCTTTAAACAGTAAGTAACAAATTGATAGTTCTGCTACACTGACGTTTTAACACAGTGGTGTTCAAATGTATACTGAAACAGCAAGTCAACTGGCAAACAATTAATTGGCAGCTGTTATAATTGCTGTATAACTGATTAATTCCTGTGGATTTTCTTATTAACCTACAACAGTGGCACAGACTATAAAACTAAAAATAACTAGTAACTGTGCATTATTCTTCACCTACATAAAAGTAAAGCATTTAAATCTTTAGCCTGTTTTACAACCTGAACATGTCTATTCATGTCTATTGATTTATTCCTGTGCCTGCCTAACTGCTATAGAGATGTGAAGCCAATTGAGCACCAGCTGCGTCCGAAAGGATTGGGTCTTGGAGCAGATCGTTCGGCAGCAAAGGACCTGGAGCCCAGCAAACATCAGCGTCCTCCAAAGCCAGGCGAGGAGCGGGGAAAGGAGGAGGAGCTAGTGATGGGTCCCGGGGGTTGTGTGCTGGTACAGTCGGGGCCACATAAAGATCTCTATGGCAAGGTAGAGTTGATCTAGAATCTGTGTGGAACAAAGTCAGCATTTCCCACACAAGGACTGTATTAGACATGCTAGCCAAGTATATTCAGTGACTCATTTGGGTATTTTTATTTATTTTAACTATACAAGTGTATGATTCTCACAATTATTTTGCAAGTTCAGTCTGCTAACAAGTCCGCCCCCTACACCCTTTCACTCCATAGCAAATGTAAGAGATTCTAATTAGGGGTAGAGTAGAAATACAACAGCAACCTTTGAGTCTTCCTCACCTTCCTGCACCGGAGACAGGGACTTGTAACGAATATCTTTGGCAATTTAATCTGCTGTCAGATTATTGAGATCTTCTTCACCTGTTATAACAGGTACCTATTTTATTTCATTTTCTGAAATCCCACACTCTGTCTTCTTTTTCATTACCACCATATTTGTATTTTATCATATGAAGAAAAATAAATAAGTAATTATGAGACATTTCACAAAACCATGTATAAATCATGGGTTGTATTTATGAAATGATCTCATGTAACTCATTTTTGTGCGGTTATAGTAAGATGGTATTTCTGCAGACTCACTGAGGAGGGCTGCGCAACACATTTCGATTAAAGGCTAGTCAGTTTGGAACTGCTTGTCATGTAGTGTGCACCCTAATACAGATGCACAGACAGTGTCAGCGTGTAGGGGCTGGAGTGGAGTTGAGCGCTTGATGTTTGAAAACTGGTTCACTTGTTTGTCATGTGTGCCGTGGTTGAAAGGACTCTAGTTTCACCATCTTGGACTAGAGTAGTGATATAGTCCTTGTTCAGCTCTGTCGATCTGCTGCAAGCTGGAGCAGAAGCCCCCACCAAACCAGAACCAGCAGCAGATGGAGAACTGGTTCATGCTTCGGATGCTACACAGAGCAGAACAAGGACTATCGTTCCCATCTGCAGTCAAGGCGTGGAGCTGGAGTCTGTCCAGTGGCCACTCACTGTGGGAGGCAGCTGTTTATATTGTTCAGTTATTTGTTATAAAGTTCTTGGCTATCACACACAGGTGCATACATGTACAGGCGTGCAGACACTTAGACATACACCAGGTTCTAATGTTAAAGAAATGTAACTGAAGTTAGCCATTTGTTTTGTACTACCCACTTCTGACTATGTGTTTTTCTTTGCCTGAGGTAGATAGAAGGTGTTGATCCAGACAATGCTCGAGTCATGGTGAAGTTGGCTATTGGCAGCAAGGTTGTGACGATTAGCCAATACGCCATTAAACTGGTGGAGCGCAAGGAATATGAGAAATACAGCAAAGATCTCAGTGAGTAACTCTGACTTTTAAAAAAGTGACCTTTATTTTTTTCCTGCATAACGAATTAGAAGAAATCTCACTTAAAATATGGTGACATTTCATTAAATACCAAAATTCTGTTTTGTAAAAGACTTGTATTGCTATTGTAGTTGCATATAATACAGATTTATTTTTAATTAAATATCTAAGGGATCCTGCTGTTATGCAGTGTTCTGGGAATCAGACTTATCCTTTTCAGTGACATTTCACTGAACAGAGATTTAGCCACAGCCTGTATTTACGTTAGCCAGCAGTGTTTTTCCTAGAATGAAAAGGCCATGAAGAATAACTCTTTCAGTACTGTTGTCTGTGTTTGCAAAAAACATTTTTTTAATGCCATCTAATACTGCTTTTCCCCCAACAATTAGGTCGCCTCAGTAAAGCCCACAAAGACAAGGAAAGGGAGAAAGAGAAGGGAAAGGATCAAGAGAGAGAGCGTCAGAGGCGGGAGGAGAACGAGAGTAGTAGTAACAGCGACAAAGTAAAACACAAGTCCTCAGAAAGAGATCGAGAAAAAGACGAGAAGAAGAGGAAACACAGAGAATCAAGTCAAGACAGGTACATTTTCACTAAGAGATGTAATATTTCAATAATGAGCATTTTAAAGTCAATTATCTGATGGTTTTTTACTTTATCATTTTAACAGCATGTTCTCTTCTTACATGTGTTCATCTGCTGTTTGTTTCGTAGAGATAAGCCTCCAGTGAAAGAAGCAAGGCGACCACCAGCTCCCCCGTCCTGGCTCCAGAGAGACCTGAAAGTTCGCTTTATAGACAAAGTGTTCAAAGGGGGCAGGTACTACAATTCAAAGGTACTCCAGCTTTATTACACCTTTCTATGTCAGTTATTAACAGCTTTGAATTAACAGATTTTAATGTGTTGAAGCTACAGGCAGATAAAAAAAATTAAAGGAAAGGGCAAGCTGATAGGGAATCACATACCACCACAGCTTTATTGTGCCTTCATTAGATTTTGATGGGGTTTTTAACTTTTCTGACAATAGCAGGCTTATACGGTATAACGAACTAAACAATTCCTGAATAACATCAGAAATACAAATTTATTGAAATAATTATTCATTTCATGAATGTACTACAGCCCGCACGTCTCACTGTTGCAGTCTATGTGGCACTGCATTCCTGATTTCTCCATTCTCCCTGTTATTGGAATTCATAAATAAGAAAGGAGGAAAATAAAACATTGTGTTAGCCTTGCGACAGACTGGCGACCTGTCCAGGCAGCACCCTGCCTCTCGCCGTAAGACAGCTGGGATAGGCTCCAGCCCCCCCGCGACTCTGAAAAGGATAAACGGCACAGAATGGATGGATGGAAAATAAAACAAGCACCATCTTGTGACGTGAACTTAGTTGGGAAGTAATTTAATCTAGAAAACTGGGCTGGGGACAACACGACACACTTTGTCGAACTAAGTGGTCTCTGTTTTGTTAGGTTGCTCACCTGCATCAATAAGGTGGAGTTTCAGCACTTGCTCCATTTACTACTTGAAGTTGTCGTTGTTCACAGCTCACTGAGCTCAGTTGCCACTGCTGGTAGAGACTGCCCTCTGGTGGTGTTTCTGGTTTCTGGGCAGCATGCCATGATAGCTTTGTAGAAATAGATGGTCTAGTTTTGGGGTTTTTTTTCTGTGACAGTATTGAAAATCCTGCTGTCAGGATTTCTAAATACCCTACAGTTCAGCTCAAGCCTACTTTGCACTGACTCTCTAAGTCTTTGAAATTCTACCGAGGCCATAAATCATTCTTGTGAAAAGAAATTCTCCCATTTGATGCTTTGATGATGGTTTTAGAGAGTACTAATATGACATGAGTAGTTGGTTTAAGATTTGGTGACACATCGAAGTGTGGCTACTTGTTTACCAGTGATGGGGCCATTATCATCCAGGAAGAGCCCACTCCCACTGCGATAGAAATGTTAATCCCCCAGAACAACTTTGCATTAAGTGCAGTAACCCCAACAGGGACAGAAAAATAGCCCTCACAGCATAAACAAGCTGGATATACCCTCATTGTAAGGTTAGGGACTTAGGATTTTCCTTTAAATTGTTAGCGGTGTGCCAGTTTGCATTAGAGATGGCTTTATTAGATGTGAAAATAAAGGACTAGAAAGCCCTTTTTAATAGCCTTTTTTTAGTTTTCACACTCTATATAGAAAACTTTTCATCCTAAGCAGCTGAAATAGACGAATCACTCCTTTTGTTATCATCATGTAGCATGTCAGAAACTACTTTATCTTTCACGTGTGTTCACTTTTTTGAGAGTCAGACATTAGTTGTAGTTAGTTTTAAACCAAAGTATCGGCATTCACAGAAAAGCCACAGAATGTTACTGTGATAATTTCAAACTTCAGTTTCCGTCAGAGCTCTAAAATAAGTCTCGTTTTTGTGCAGATGCAAGTGGAGGATGTCCTGACGCCGTCTACCTGTGTGTGCCGAACTGAAGAGGGAAGACTGTTAGACGGTGAGTTATTAGTGTGATCTCGGGCTTGCTCGGTGTTATTTTTCTCAGTCTGTGGCGTTCGTGTTTTCTGTTGCCTAATTGGAGCTTGTCAGGAAATGTGTAAAATGTGTGCTGTCACTGTCTCTGTTGAATTCCTTATTCATCTAACAAGTTAAGGTGTTTTTAGCTGCTCATAAGTTGCATGAAAAAAATTAATCACTGTTATTGTGAGGTGTTTAAGGAATAGACAGATATGACTTTTTTTGTTAGAATTTGAAGGAAATGTATGGCTTTATTTGTTTTTGAAGGTTTGTTAAATCTCTTTTTTTCCATTTCTTTGCACATAATGATGAATAAGTTATAATTGTTGACCAGTAGATTAACTTGTAATGCTCATTTTCTTTTCCCTCAGGTTAAGTTTCCCAGGTCTGCACCTTTGCACATTTAAATATAAAGGTGTATAGGTCCTCGCAGCTAACTTTCAACAATGCAAAGCAAATATGGATTTTTTAAAAATGGTTGAACTATCCCTTTTGGCACGACTGAATCTCCAGAATAACCAGTCTTCTATACTGTTTACAGTTAGTTAATTTGAGAGATATGTACAGTTTTAATCTGTTAGGATTATACTCAGATCTCTTCTGTCATGATAAGTTTTGTTTCTGTGTTTTGTTTAAAATGAACTTCATATTGTCCTGGCTGCAGTTGTGCTTTTTAACAGCTAACTTTACACAATGCTATCATGTCAAATCAGTCACTTTAAAATCATGTCAGCATAAAAGTGTTCAGAATCTTTAGGCGCAGGACAAGAATCTGTTTGCAGATTACTTACAGGTAAATGGTCCTGTTGAAGAGCAAGGGGAGGGATTACTGATTATTGTTATTGCCAAAATATAACCTTGAGTTAGAATAATATTTTTACATTTTATTTGTTCTTTAAAATGTATTTGTTGCAAAAATAATAACATGACTACCACAGATATCTGGCTATGGTGGAAGCATTGGTTATTGTTCTGAGAGGTCGGTCTGCTGATTTCAATCTGGCAACCAGACTTCCCAGATTGGGGATTAATTTGATTCTTTTTCCTTATTGGTTATTAGCAAACATACAGTGGCTTGCAAAAGTATTTGGCCCCCTTGAAATTTCCCACATTTTGTCACATTACAGCCACAAAC